TTTATTTTTAATTGGATTAATGTTTTAAATTAATTAAACGTAATCGCAGCCAGCGATTAACGATTAAAAAATGTTATCATTAATCGTACAGTTGATTACGACGAATTAATTTTAATCGTCCAGCGCGATTAAAATTTTAATCGTTAATTTTTAATCGTTAATCAGATTGACAGTTTGCCAACACTGTGTGAAATCATGTTCATATTCACGGAGAAAAATGGACTTTTTTGGAAAATTGGCGCAGCACCTCCCATACTGACTGAAAGTTTCATATTGCATATCTCTTCAAATGTTTGGTGTAAAGCACTCAAGCTTGGTATGTGAAACTAATACCATACTCATGGAGAAAAATTAGAGTTATTGGAAAAGGTGGTGTGGCAAATCCATGCAAATTGATTTTTCTATGCTGCATATCTCTGGAGGTGTTTATTGCAGAGGACTGGAACTTGGCACCGAGATGTGTATAGAAAATGCAAATTGATTTTTCTACGCTGCATATCTCTGGAGGTGTTTATTGCAGAGGACGGGAACTTGGCACCGAGATGTGTATACAAAACTAATTCCATACTCATGGAGCAAAATTTGCGCTATTCGAAAAGGGGACATGGCTCCTCCCGTACAAATTTACTGTTTTATACTGCTTACCTCTAGAAGTGTTCATGGTAGAGTACTGGGACTTGGTGCTGGGGTATGTAAAATCAATTCTGAATTCATGGAAGAAGATTAGGGTTACAAGAAAGAGGGGCGTGGCAGTTCCAGTACAAATTTACTTTTTCTTGCCACATATCCCTGGAAGTGTTTGTGGAAGAATACTGGAACTTGGTATGGAGTTGTGTATACAAAATGTATCAATTGCTCATGGAAAAAATGTGAGTTATTAAAAAAGGAGGCATGTCGCTTCCCATACATACTAAAAACTTCTTAATATATAATAAGTATTTTAAATTTGTTATGGAAATTTATTTTATAAGTGCCGTACTGATAGAATAAATTTCATTAACTGGGAAAGGGAGAGCCGGGTTCGGCCTTATAATCTAAAGCTCTCTTGAGGCATTTGCCACAGTAATGAGAAGTGGTATTTTATCAAGGCCAGGTTACTAAATTTGAGTTGGAAATATTAGAACCCGCCGTGGCACCTCCAAGAAGGTTACACGTTCACGCGTCGTATACCTGGAACCATTTTAAGGTAAACTTAGAGGGATTGATATCTTTCGTATGCCTAGCGCGCAGACGAGATTTTATAATTTCATAGTTTTAAACGGCCTAAATACCTTAACTCGCTTAAAAACTAACGAGCTATAACGAAATGGGCACAGAAATAAAATCTAACATCATTAAATTATTTTTCATATTTGTATAAAAGCGCGGGGTGAAACCCGCGGGTATAAGCTGGTTTGTTTTAAAGCCGGTATGGACATATGAAACACGGTTATGGGGCTCTGCAGACCCATCCAATGTAGAAATAGATACTCCCAAGTTTCCTTTTAAAAAATCTTAAAATGATTGCGGACGCTCCGTTTTATGTCACAAACAACCAAATACACCGTGACCGTGATTCCTATTGGTTCTTCTGAAATAAAAACTACGCCTTGGCGCACCAACAAAAATTCATCTTATTTCAACACAAATTTCTCATACAGTATTATTACAGCGACTTAAAAGGAAGTCAATATTAGATCTCTACTAATATTGAACACCTGCGAAAAAATATGGTTGCAGCACTGGGTGTACTCCATACATGATTATTTTTATCTAGTAATAGGTTTTAAATATTGCTTAATGCACAATACAGATTGCAATAAAATATATGAATTTAAAAAAATATATATATTAACTAGCGCAAAATAGAAATACAAAGTGAAGTGAAGTCAAACTTCATTTGGTCTTCTCCTGCCAACACCAGCATAATCCTGTACTTTAAGGGCTATGGAATTGTTATCTTTAAAGACGAAGTGGCCTAGCAAGTGAAGAAGTCGTGTTTTAATTCACTAAACCATAATGCATTCGTATAAATACATACATCCATAGCGTATGTGTTTTGTACACTTTGCGATTATGTAGCTCATCGTGTTATACATGAATAAAAGCCAAAAAAAGGGTTAATGTAGTCAAATATACGAATTCTTTACATGTACATTTTCAAATAAGCGTACGTCATATATTGATTTCACTTTGTTTATTACATTATGATTTCACTAAATTTTTTTTCTCGGCCAAATTAAGTGTCTGACATAAATGCTTTTTTTTGACTTTTGCATCATAATTGTGCTACCAACTTCATTTATTAAAAAAACTTAAATTTCAAAAACAAAAAAATTAGCGTAAAAAAATGATTTGAGCATTTAAAGGTAATTGGAATACAAGGACGAACTGCAAGAATAACGGGGTGAAATTTATTCAATTCCCTTCTATACCGTATATATAGAAAAGGTGGATGGACGCTTGCCAAACGCATGCAGAACTACATATTTCCAAAAGTTCCGCATGATTGCATGAGGCGTGGCACCTCACATGCAAATTTTCATACTGTGTATCTCTGGAAATGTTTATGGAAGAGTACCGGAACTTGTTATCAAGTTATACAAAATCTGTTCCATACTCATGGTGAAATATAATTTAAAAGGTTCTGTGGTCTCTCCCATACAACTGAAATTTTCATACAGCAAATCTCTGCAAACATTTTGGAGGAGTAGAATTTCATATGAAGATTTAATGTATTGTGGAACGATTTTCCGTCATCCCTTGTCATATTTGGTTTGGAGACAAACCGGTTTCGGCGTTGTGCCATCTCCAGTATCATTTTTCGTTCTGAATAGTTCGTGTTTCCTTCCGCTTTTTATGTATTCGTGTTACTATCTGTTTTAACTGTCATTATGTCATGCAGACCCATCTAATACTACGTTTGCGACAGAATTCGTGAATTCTTCATTTCATGAATTTAAAAATGGTCCCGTTTATGCATAGTTCGCAAANTCCTTCCGCTTTTTATGTATTCGTGTTACTATCTGTTTTAACTGTCATTATGTCATGCAGACCCATCTAATACTACGTTTGCGACAGAATTCGTGAATTCTTCATTTCATGAATTTAAAAATGGTCCCGTTTATGCATAGTTCGCAAATTCATGAAATAAGGTGATTTGAAAAAGTGGCAACGCACTGGCGGGAAACTAAACAGTAGGGTTGTGACTTTTTTGCCTCCTTTCGAATTTACAAAAGCCGTTGGAGCCAGGCAATGAGCCTTATTTTATTTAAATTGGTTTTAATACATTTTCAGTTTATTCTATTTGAATTTACTTTATATTTGACCAATTCCGCACAACTTTTCCAGTGTTTGAAGTCCCTGCTATGCAACTCATGGTTATTATTCTAAAAACATCATAATCCTAGTAAACAGCTGTTTGTGGAACTTGCACTTCACGATTTCATGAAATGATGCCGAATTCATGGTTAACTTTCGTGTATAACTGAATTCATGAAATGGTGTTTATGCAGCCATTTTTAACCCAAATTCTTGAAATGAATTCGTGAATTAGCCTACGCATAAACGTAGTATAAGTGTTTCAGCTTTTGTTTCATTATCTCGCAGGTAGGTGCTTTTTGGTTGCTTGTATTCGCCGACGGGTAATTTTTATTTTCTTGGTTTTCGTGATTGCGTCAGCTTATGTTCCGTTATTTAGCAGGTAGGTGGTTTTAGGTTGCTTGTATGTGCCGGCAGATACAAATCCGTTATTTTAGTCTTCTTGGATTCTGCGGCGTGGGTCCGCTTAGAAATACTCGGCTGCGACGGCCAACAAATAAAGTCAAGCGCTCACGTGAAGAGCCTCCTAATGAAAAATCGCAGCAATTTGCCCACCGTTGTCACTTCACTTGACAATTCTGAGGTTGGTAAGAGCCAGGTCAACAAACGTGCGCGTTATTTGAAACCTCCGAATTGTCAAGTGAAGCGAAAATGGTGGGCAAATTGTTGCGATATCACGTGTGCGCTAAAACCATTTTAGTGCCAGTGACTTTATTTGTTGCCCAACGCAGCCGAGTATTTCTAAGCGGACGCTTTTTCCCAGGTGCAGGATTTATCATACCTAATATGAAGAGAAAATCTTCCACTCATATACATGGATAGACCAAATTTCAAATGGTGATCTGATAAAACCTAAAACAGAATTCCTTGTTGATATAAAGATAACGGAAGTAATTTTTAATAAATTTAATGGAAATGAGATTTCGAATTACAAAGATTTAATAGCTAAGTTACTGAAATTAAGTTCTAAAGTAAATTTAGAAGAGTTAAACTTTTTTTAATGTGTGATATACTTCAGAATTAAGTATTTGAATAAAAAACTAAATGCTCAAAAACATTGGGCTTGTAAAAGCAAGAAAATTGCCAAAACAGTTTTATAAATGAGTGTGTAGTTCTGTGTAAGTGTGCATTTCCACATTTACATTATAAGAAAATGCAGTAACTAAAATGAAGCTGATTCTAATGAGATTTTAAATATTTTCATATTTACAGAAACTTTCATTTCAAAGATATTGGGCTGTATGTAAGTCAATGCTCTTTCTTAAAATTTCAGACCTTTTACTCGATTTTTTCAAACAAATTTAAGTAATAGGTATGCAATTTTAAGTAAAAGCAATTGCTTATTTTTATGCATAGGGCTCATTGAGTTTTATCAAATATGGTAAATGCATAACAAAGGGTTAATTTCTTAGTTTACATTTTTTGACATTACAGTCAGCTATGAGAGAGCTCGACTGAGTTGTTATTTCTACCTCGTTGAATATGCCTTGGTTCTACCTTACTATGTTTTTATCATGATGCATACGTAATAAAAATCGAAACGTGTTTGTGAGTTTGAGTATTGGATGTTAAAAGTATTTTGTTTTCTAGTATCAAAAATGATCAGGCTGCATCTGAACGGTTTTACCTTATAGTGTTCTTATGTTATCATGCATAGAATGCCACTTTTTTTTAGCTATTTTCTATTTCTGTGCACTCACCCAGTTCCGATTAATGGTTTGTCATTACGTTCCCAGCGAAAACTCACTGGTAAATCCCCTTCCAGAATTTGGCACGAAATGGCAGCACGCATGCCCTCGCGCAACATATTGGTCATTGCTTGGATAGGCATAATTTTAGGGGGTACTGCAACAAAACACAAAAACAAACGTTTTATTTAATATTACACATATATATGTAGGTATATATAATTATCCATGGGCGTAGCCAGAACCAAATTTAGGGGGGCCGCCTATAAACAGCAAAAATTTCAAAACCAATAACTATTACTTACTATAAAGTTGTTTATTGTAGCTTCAAATTATTGTAACCACATAAACGGAAGTTCACAAAAGTTGATATAACTAAAACTTTTCGTCGATTTAATTAGTTAATTCTTTACTGCGTATATTTTTTTACGAGGAGGAAGCATCGAAAGCCTAAGGCCGAGGCCACGCAATGAGCGGCTTAGCGGCGCAATACAGAAATACCGCTTATTGCCATGATGCAGCGAAACAAAGGTGGCGCCTTCCGCGGACCGCTAATCCTCTCTTTCTCGACCTGACAGCATCCACCGTTTCGCTGACGCCACATTATTATTTTTGAGCTTTAGTAATGAATATTAAATATTCATATTGTACCTATTTGCCAAAAAGTTGTACCTAAAGGTACCTAAACAGTAAACAAGTACTTTTATGTTCATATATTTTTGATTCCTTCCTCCTTCTGTACCTTAACAACTTTTGGATTTACATGAGACAATATTTTCAAATGTACCTAAAATAATGTGATTGTACCGAATGTACGTTCAAATTTAAGAAGCTGAAGAGTAGGTACATTTCAATCTAGGTTTACATCACTATTTCGCGTTTAGGAAAGTCAAGACGAACAAAACAGTGCTCAGGTGGGGAAGGGGATGGGTGTATTAAAAACTTTGGGGAGTTATAGGGGTAGAAAATAGTTGCCAGTACTTTTAGAAAAAAATCTCATCTTAAGGGTAAGTTCTGTAAGAATTTGTCTCTTAAGATTTTGCATACAGATAATGTTTTTAATTTTAAAGTTATCTAGACAGGAGTTACCTATGGAGATATTCGTACAAAGTTGTCACCTACTCGAAATTATTTATAAGCTAAATAAAACATCACACTGATTATCAAGTGAAACGTATTTTAAAAATCCCTACTTTCCATCTTTTATGTATTTAATTTTCTGTTTTAAAATTAAAATACAATTAACTATTCATGGGTACTAAAAGAAAGCTCTTAAACAATGCCTTGCCTATATATAAAGTGTTATCCCTTAGGATATTAATTTAAGGGTTCCATTTATTTTCGATTTTACAAAATTTAACTAAAACAAGTAAGAGCAACGCTGTCTTCGGCTATGCCGAAGGCTTCATACCTTTCATGAACATCTGCAAATTTCACTTTGCATACATCGATAGAGGAGTTACATACTTATATAAAAAATCGCATCTAAACAATCAGAGGTATGGAAGATATACCTTATATTAGCACCAATCTAAGTGATTTTCACTGCTATGTGATCGGTATGTAAACCGGTAACACAATTTATTTGGTTCAACTTTGCGTTCAACATTTGCGTTCAACTCAGCGCAGGGTTGCACGAAAAAAAAGTTGAATGGCTAAAAATATCAAAATATGAAAAAATATCAAAATATTCGCCATAAAAAGGTGTTTGCATTGTTCAACTTTGCATTCAACTTTTGGTTGAATGGCCTTTCAACTAATCGCTTTCAACAAAGTTGGTCGCCAGCCAACATTTAGCCATTCAACTTTTTTTTCGTGCAACCCTGCGTTGAGTTGAACGCAATTGTTGAACGCAAAGTTGAATAATGCAAACACTGCTTAAATTCCTACATAAAGGAGATATATCGCAAAAACTGGTATCTGAACAATCAGTGGTATAGGAGATAAAGGTTATACGGCATAGCTTTTGAAGACTTTCTCAGTAGACTTTGTATTATTATTTATAAAATATCTTACGAAATTTATCGGTTTTAGCTGTTCAAATAAAGGAGTTTTACAGTAAAATTCCATATCTGAACAATCAAATGTATGGAAGATACATATATGTTATAGTCACCCGATCCTTTTTATTGTCACTGTAAGTATTCGGTTAATAATGAATGAAAATGATGCGAAATTTCATGTTCCTAGCTGCATAAATGGAGGAGTTATGATAAAAGACCTCATATCTGAACAATCAGTTGTATGGGGGCTGCAGGTTATAGTGACCCGATCTTTGTTATTTTCACTGTAAGTCTTCTGTTGATAATGAGTGAAAACAGCGCGAAATTGCATGGTCCTAGCTAGATAAATTGAGGAGTTACAACGAAAAATCTCATATTTGAACAATCAGTAGTATGGGAGCTATAGGTTATAGTTACCCCATCCTTTTAATTTTCACTGTAAGTCTTCTGTTGATAATGAGTGAAAACAGCGCGAAATTGCATGGTCCTAGCTAGATAAATTGAGGAGTTACAACGAAAAATCTCATATTTGAACAATCAGTAGTATGGGAGCTATAGGTATAGTGACCCGATCTTTGTAATTTTCACTGTAAGTATTCTGTTAATAATGGGTTCACGTACTGCAAAATTTCATGTTCTTAGCTGCATAAATGGAGAAGTTATAACGAAAAATCTCATATCTGAACAATCAGTTGTATGGGAGCTATATGTTATAGTGGTCCGATTCTTCCGGTTCCGACAAATGATTAATACATTATAAAAATACACCCAACTACCAAATTTTATCCGGTTACCTCGAAAACTGAGAGACTAGACTGCATACAANTGATTAATACATTATAAAAATACACCCAACTACCAAATTTTATCCGGTTATCTCGAAAACTGAGAGACTAGACTGCATACAAACAGACAGACGGACAGACGGACATGGCTAAATCGACTCAGCTCGACGTTCTGATCATATAAGTATACATTTTAATGGGTGTATCTCTTTTTATTCTGGTACTTACAAACATCGGACCAAAGTTATAATACCAGTTCATGCTCATGAAATGTATAAACATTAATATGGATATCAAATAAAAGGTATTTTTAAGAACTTTTTGATAAAGGTTGCCATGTTTTTTTTTTTTTTGTAGTACAAATTTGTGTCTTATTCCCTCAAATAAAGTTTAATCTGATTTTTAAACAGCTGGTAACCCATATGTTGTTTAGAAATAAAGCCCTTTCAAAATCATTTCGATTGATACCCATATTGTAGTAATTTATTTAGGTTAATTGTATTTAATTATTTTACAGGTGGCAACCCTTCTCATGTTCTAGCCCAGTTATAAACCTTCTCCTCGCCGNCTTATTCCCTCAAATAAAGTTTAATCTGATTTTTAAACAGCTGGTAACCCATATGTTGTTTAGAAATAAAGCCCTTTCAAAATCATTTCGATTGATACCCATATTTTAGTAATTTATTTAGGTTAATTGTATTTAATTATTTTACAGGTGGCAACCCTTCTCATGTTCTAGCCCAGGCAAACACGTATGTAGGTATAAGTGTTTCTATAGTCGGATCACGGCACCATAGAGTCTATCGATGTCAAACTTTGAAAAACTTTAGTTTCGTTGTTTTGGCGGAATAATTGCATGCCCCCCCCTCTATTTATTTTATTTTAAACATATACAATTTTAAATGTCATAACACGTCTTTTCTAAACAATTTGAGTCAAAATCTTCATAAAAAGAATTTTTCAACTTTCAGTTTCTTTTTGCATAATTTCGTGAAAATAATTTTTCGAACAATGGAAAAATCACACCAAACATTGGGAGGAAGGTCCTACCTATGTAATTTTTAATTGTAACCTTTATTTTTCTGAGAGTGGAAAGCAGAAACCAAAAAATTAACTGAAATTCTATCTTATTAATTGGTTGAGCCCATATCTTTTGCGAGTTGTAGACGTTACAAAGATCCAATCTTACCCATATTTTATATTTAGGGGTTTGCTTTTCCCATGTGAAATTAGAGCACATGTTATGGGCTGATTATGCATACTTCGCATAACTTCGCACAACTTCGCATAAACTTCTAACTGTAATTTCGTATGTACTTTGTATGTATTTTGTATGTATTCCATTACCCAGAAATTAGCAGAACTTTGAAAAACTTAGCGATCTGTTGAGTTTAGATTTTGCTTCACATTTTCTTAAGTTACACTTTTAGTGCACTGGTACAAATGGTTGTGCGAGGTTATGCGAAGTATGCATAATCAGACCCTTAGGCTAACTATTATTTCCACCTCCGTATAGTCAAAACACTGTGCAATGTGAGAAATAAGAAACCGATTTAAAAACAAATACACTTTTCAATTTCAAAGCGTATTTGAATTAGGGTTATGTATCCATTTGGAGTAATAGCGAACTGAGTCAAAGCGCATCATGTGGCGGTATAAACATGGTGACTGGTTAAAATTAGATGATTCATGGATCGCTATTGAGGTAACTGTCTAAAAGTGTGCAACGGCCAGTTCTTGTCCCATCAACTACGAACTAAGCCTGGGATTATCCGTATATTCGGATACGGGCTCGAATATTCGTGTGTTCGGATAAAATCCGATTAGTACGGATATTCAGTTAACATTTGTTTTTTTGGTTAGCCGGATAGTTGTAAAGCTTTCCTATTTGTCCCAAAAAACACGTCACATTTAGTCTCATTTAAGCGACAGAGCTTTAAGCAGTGCTGAAACTTTACCACAATTGTGGTAGAACTACCACATTTTCAGTCATTTTTTACTTCTCCTACATTTTTAAAAAATCTACCACAATTTTACTGAACTAAAGTTATTAACCTAATGCATAAAAGTTGAACAGCAAATTTTCTCCTGAATATGAATTTAAAAGTCAGAATATTGTGTTAGTTCAAGAGCTGAAGGTGCTGCCAAGCATTTCGAAATTTCTATTGCGTAAATGAAGGATAAATGCTGGCTTTCATAAGTCAAATTCAGTGGCATTTGTCGTCAAATAAATGAAAACACGTTATCAAATGGAACTAAAAAACGGTTTATCGATTGACTTAGATCAGAATAGGCCGTGTACATGTGCTGTTTAATTGACTATCTGTCTGCTATTGGTAAAGTTGTGCCAAAATATGTTGCCAAAATTT